TCCTATTTCCCTTGCCCGTTGTACTTCCTGTGGCAAGGGATAAATGGAGACTGAAATTAGGGAAAAAATGAGCAGATGATGGGTGGCAGAGAAGAAAATGACAAAAGAAGCTTTGCTGGGAAATGAAATAAATATCAGTGTTTGGTGGTATCTTTGGGATAGGTGAGGAAGCTGAAGTTGACAGGAAGGAAGTTTCAGAAAGACAATTGTATCTTCCCTGGAACAAGCTACCTTTAGTGTCTTGGGAAAAGGAGCAGAATTGGGGAGGTTCTGAAGTTGTAATTGGGACAGTGTAGGACGGGTGTGTGTGAGAGACTAATTAGAGCATAAATTAAAGTCCTGTGCTTCAGTGCAAGGCTCAGTTACCCAACAATAACTTTCCTGTCTCCAGATGACCTCATTCCTCCCTCGGATCTGCTTGAGCTGATTGTCTCCTGGATCTTTGAAGACCCTCGTTTGATCCTCATCACCTTCCTGAACACTCCCATTGCAGCCAACCTGCCCATAGGGTTTTTGGAGCTCACGCCGCTGACCGGACTGATCCGCTGGTGTGTCAAGGCTCCCTTGGCCTACAAAAGGAAGAAGAAAGCCTCTCTGTCCAATGGACATGCTCCCAGCAAAATTGCCAAGGACTCCACTTCAGGAGAGGACAGGGATTGCCACCAGCTGTATTCCAAGCTGCATCTGAGTGTCCTGCAGGTTCTTATGATGCTCCAGGGACATTTAACAGAGAAAAACCTTTATGGGCGCCTGGGGCTGGTACCCTTTGACCACGTGGTTCCTCTGGTGGAGGACATTAACAGACTGTCTGATGAACTCAATCCTCTCAATGCATCCAAAGAGATTGAACTCGCTCTGGACAGGCTGGCTCAGGCTTTGCAAGTGGCCATGGCATCAGGAGCTCTCCTGTGCACCAGAGGTGAGTTGTCTGGGGGGCTAGCAGAGATCTGACACTGGATTCTTCTCCTCCAGGGTGCAGAAGTTGTAAGAGGCAGTTTTGGGGTGAGGGGAGTAAAGATCAAAGTGTTCACAGCATAATTAGTAGTTTTCCCCTCCTAGAAAGTGATAGTGCACAAAATAGTTCAGGAAAAATTGCTGGATGGAGAATAGGAAAGGAGAGATCACTGCTGTGGGTGAGTCAGGCATTGCTTTGCAGAGCTGGGGACTGATCCACAGCCCTGCACTGTGCACCAGGGTGTTGTATCTGGGTGTCTGGCATGGGGACACTGTTCCCCTCAGAATTGCCTGTAGCTATTTAAAAAACACCCTATGATTTTGCTTCAGTTTAAGTTCTCTGAGTTTGCCTGCTGGAGAAGAGGCCATGAAGCACATAAACCCCTGGGTGGGTGTGCTAGACAAAGGATTTGAAAAGCAAATAATACCTCTTCAACTGAGACTTCTGGGACTTCAGCTCACCTATAATGAGACCCCATTACAGTGTGTCCAAATTCAGTTAACTCAGTAAAAAAGGGCTGCTAACGTGGCTTTTGTCTGGCTTTTCTGTCTCCAAAGCCAGATCTTTCCAAAAGACATGCAGAGAGATAAAAGCGAAGTGGCCCAACACAGGGCAGGGTCAGCCACACATTTTTTTGTTATATTCTCTTGAAAATGGGCAATTTTAGCTTATACCAGAAGGCTTGAAGCTCTCAGTCAGCTGGGACATTCAGTGCAGACCACAGCTGCAGAGTAGGCCTCTGCCTAAGCAGGGATCTGATGCTTTTGTCCTGACAGAACCAGTGCTGCTGGTCAAATTTCAATGCTCTTCTTCCTAATCTTTTAAAAAGTAACTCTGAGTGTTATAAGAACATATAGGAAGTCAGAGTTTTTTGATGTGAGGGCTGATTTGAGCCAAGTTTGTTCTTAGCTGGAACATTCTGAGTACTTGCTCTTTCTGTAGAAGGTAATTCAATGTAAGGGGCTGCTGCAATACCAGATATTTCAGTGTTTTGGGGTTGTATTTGTCCACAAAGGCAGCAGTTTGTTCTCAAGCTATTCCTGAAAACAGTCAATGGGATATGTTGTTAAATTCCTTGGCTCTAGCTATTCTGCTTTAGCAGAAGTTTGAAGATGGTAAAAAAGGTGCAATTTCTACTTGATAGATTCAACAAAAAAAGCCCAACCCTATCTTTACAGTTGCAGTGGTTAAAAAAGCCCAAACCAATACAAAACAGGTATTGGGCAGAGTCACACCTTGTACTTCCTGTGTCTCAGTTACATCTTGTTGGTGTAGTGGCATTGCAAAATCCATCCTAAGGCTTGTGTGTCTTAAGTGTCAAACATGCAAAAAAGGAGCTGGTGGGGAAAGTTGGTGAAATGGAGAAACATTTTCTCTCCTGTGGAGGTTTTGGACCTGAGAGAGGGATTCTGGATTTCCTGCTGAGATGATGATGACAGATTACTGATCATTCAGTAGTCAGTAATTATTCAGTAAAATTACTAATTATTCAGTAATCTGACCTTCCTAGAAAAGATAGCAGGGAGAAAAACCACTCTAATTTTTGCTTATTGTTAATCTTGTGTCCTCTTTCAGATGACTTGAGGACTGTGTGCTCCAGGCTACCACATAACAAGTAAGAGACTTTTTGCAGTTGTGTTGGCTTTGATGCATGTTCCAAGACACTCGAGGGCTGCTGAGACAAAATCTCCTCTAAAAACTTGTCTGTGGAATTTGGCCTTTATTCATGTGCACTTTAGAAACAGGATGAAGGTGACACAGTTCTGGCTGCTTCTTCCCTGCATTCCTGACAGAAAGGGGCTTCAGTGCTCCCAGCTGTAGGTGATCTTGCCCAGCCTGTGTTAGAACAAAGGCGCAGGAAAGGGAAATGGAATTCCAGCAAGAAACCTGCCCCTAAACTGTCCCATCTCTAAATCCCCACTGGTTTTACCTGACTCTAAGCTCAATTGCTTCTTGTCTTTTTGCAAAAAGAGCAGAGCTTAAAAAAAATGGGGAGAAAGGGGGAAAAAGGGAAAAAATGTCTTCTGGAAGCTGTTAAGAACATAATTGTGTCACTGTTCTCTTGGGTCTCAGCAGCGCTGTGAGTTGGATGTGAATTGTCCTTAGAGGCACGACAAAAGCTCCTCTAATAACCTCCCTCCTGTCTGAATTTCTTTCCACAGCCTGCTCCAGCTGGTGATTTCAGGTCCAGTACAGCAGCCGACCCACGGGGCTCTGCCCCCAGGATTTTACCCCCACATCCACACCCCTCCCCTGGGATACCCCGCGCACGCCGCGCACCCGGCGCTGCCCGCGCACCCCGCGCTCCCGGCTCACCCCGTGCAGACCTTCATCCCGGGAATGACATTCCCATACCGGCCTATCCGCTAGCCCACAGAGTCTCCCAGCTTCCCTGAGTCTGAGGAAGCCTCAGAGACAAGAACCAAACGCCTGGGAACCACATTTTCCTCTTTGGAGCAAAGCTGAGCTCCGCCTGCGCCAGGAATCGCCCTCGGGTGACGCACGGGGGCTGTGGTGGGTTTGGATGTGGAATGCAGATGCTAAGGGAGATCACAGGGACAAAAGGAAGGGATGGGAATAAGTAACATCAATTCCAAACCTCTGCAGTGTGTGGAAGTTGTTTTGCTCCAAGGGTATGATATTCCTCAATCGTGTTTTGCGGCAGCTCGGGGCTGTTTACAGCAGGGTGAGCCCGGCTGCTCTGGCTGTGGGAGGGCCAGAAGGGAAGGCCTTGTGTGATTTTTTTCCAAGCTATTCCACTCCAGCCTGCTTGTTTCTTTGTAAATGTTTGTATCTATAGCTACAGAGTATGTGTACACTGTATATTTTTGGAAGGCAAACGTTTGTTTCCGAAGCACAAGGTAGAGTAAAGCAGCACTTCCTATTAAAGGAAACAATTTAAGAAGCATTAAACAAATCTGCTGCTTTCTTTTTCTAACAATTAAAAGAATTAGAACAATTTCAAACAATTAGATTCTTCTCTTTCCAGTGATTAGAAGGTCCAACTCGTCAGGCCTGTGCTGGGGTGGGGACAAGACCCATCTGTGGCTGCAGTGACCCATTGACCTCTCTGCTGGGGAAACGCCCTGTAAACACCTCAGTCAGTGCTTCTTGAAAATTTGGGGTGAGATCTGGGGTGTTCCGTTAATTCTGGCTGGAAAACTGGCCAAAGGCTGGCAGTGCTGTGCTGGCCAGCTCTGAGTGCAGCACAGGAATGCATGGACTCATGCTGGGAAGGACAGCAGAGCTTGCCAAAGGTCGGCTCCAACCCTTTATTGTCTTGCTGGGCTTCTCTGAGCCCCCCCTCTGCAGGATGAAAAAGCAGCAGGAGAAAAGGGATTCTTCCTACACATCAGAGGTGGTGACAAAGGCCTCTGCTGCTGTCCTTGTGTGAGATGTGGCACCTGTGGTTCCACAATGACTGCCAAAAAAAAAGGCAAATTAGCTGGAAGGTGAGAAAATCTGATTTGAATGGAACAGCTGGCAAGAAAACTGTGGAAATGGAAGGTTAATAATAATCATGGAGTTCTCAGGGTTGGAAGGGACCTCTGGAGATCACCTAGTACAACCTCCAGTTCATCTAGAACCTATAATAAAAATAGCATCTTTAATTTTTGTTCAGGCAGTTGGCCTAGGCACTCCTTTTAGGTACTTTTCGACTGCAATATCCTGCCTCATCTCACTTTTTAGAGCTTCAACGAAAAGGCAAAACCCTCAAGAACGTCTAATTTCAGGATTAGAGCCATTAATGGCATCAAGTTCTTATACTGTATGACACTTCTACCTCCTATTCCTTTGAAGGACAGGGAAATTTCCGGCCAGGTGACCCACGGGCGTGACCAGCCCCACCTCCTGTTTCTCAAGCGCCTGCGCTCAAGGACGCCCCTTTAATTAGCGCTCCGTTAATTACCGCCAGCGTTCCCCCCTCGGCGCCGCCCACGTGGCCTCAGGGGACCGGCGCGCCCCTGTGCGCGTGCGCGGCGCTCCTGGTCACGTGCCCGGCCGCCAGCCAATGGGGAGGCGCGTTACTGCGCGGTGCCCCGGTTGAGGAAGTGCCGCCGGTGCCCGTGCCCAGCGCTCCTCCGTCCGGTTCCGCCTCCCGGGATGTGCTGAGGGCGCGTCCGCCGCCCCTCCCAGGTGAGCGGGGAGGAGCTTGGGGGGGGTCTCTGCGGTGGGCAGGGGGGCTGGCGTTGTCATGGCGATTTCGCCTGGGACGGGCCCGGGCCCGGCGCAGTCGCCATGGCAACCCCTGCTCCCCCCCGCCCTTAGGTCGCAGCGGGTCCGGGGCCCTCGGGACGTGCTCCCGTCCTTCCCGATAACCGGAGAGCTCGGTGCCGTTGTCGCCACCTGTGTCCGTCTCCATTTCCTCCTCCGCAGCCGAGTTTCGCCCGGGCAGGCCGGGATATGCCGTGTATAGCCGGGTCCGGCCGCTCCCCCGGTTTGCTCGGGGTTGTTTGTTGAGGGCTGGGTGTTTTCGAACGGTGTGTTGAGGCCACCGACATTGCTGTGTCCAGCCAGGAGCTAAAACCTATCTTGGATAATCCACTCTTGATTACAGGCATCAGATTATTGTCGTATCCCACTGCAAGCTGTCTAAATGTTTAATTATGTTACCTATGTTGAGTTTGAGCCCTGCTCTGTACCTGTTTTGATTTTGTTGTGCTACAGCAGCTCCCAGCCCGTTCTGGGTGATCTTGCTGAGCTGCTGAACCTCGGCCACGCTTCCTTCTCCTCTGACGTTTTATTCACAGACACACAGAGGCATGAAGTAGCCGTACCTACCTCAGGCCACACTCTTTATAGTCGGGTCTTTTTCCACCTCTGGGATTGTTCTAATAATTTCCTGTGTCCTCCTTTGCTGCTGAGGCACAAATGTTCTCAGGGAGCTCATTGTGAGCGTGGCTGATTTTCCCCCTTGCAGTGGTCAACACAAATTGGAGATGTTTGCATTCCTTCAAGATGCATTCATTTTTTATTTATCTACAGCTTACAGTTTTACTTGGCTTTTAGTACTGTGGAAGCTTTCTGCAACTGCCAATAGCTTTATATTTTCCCATCCTGGAAATCTGTGCCCTATCTCAAAGGATTTGGTTGCATGTCTATTCTTCTCCCATCTAGTTGTTATGAACCTGCTGAATGGACTCTCTTTTCACTATGGATTCATCCCAGATGATTTTAATCTAATTAATTCTTGTAATTAATTTCTTTTAATCTGCCACAGACTCTCCTTAGCCCAGGTCAGTATCCTCAGAAGTCTTTATGGAGGACACTTGTGGGAGCATTTTGGGAGCACTAGAACGTGGTGTGTTTTCAGATTATCCAATTGTCTGCTGGAATAAACTCTAGCAGCTGTCTTACAAGTGAGGTGAAAAAAAAAAACAAACCAAAAAACCCACCAAAACTCCCCAAAACTGCTGGGTCTGTCCCAGTGTGTGATAATTAATGTGTGAGCTCATTTACAAGATAAACCTGAGCAGCCTCAGAAGCAGTGACAGGGACCAGGCTTTTAAAGCAGAAAGTTTTCTCTTGCAGGTTAAAAAGTAGTTCTATTACATCTTGTAAACTGCTCTAATTAGTGTTCCCACACCTGCTGGTAAAGGAAAAAGCATTTGTTAGTGGTGCTGAGACAATGTTTTGCTCTTTGCTGCTGCTGTTGCTCTCAGCAGGTTGGTTGATGTTCTTAAGGCAAATTGACTTCTCATGTCTGACTAGTTGGGAAGTGGCTGTCCTGTGAATGCCTCTTAAAACCTGTGGCATTCTTAATTTTAACCTCTTTCCCTAAACCTGTGTCACTCATCCTGACTCCAGGTATCCAGACTGGAATTGGGTGTGGTGAAACATTGTGGGAACTGCCAGTGGAATTCAGAAAATTATCTTTAGTCAAAGAGCCTTTAACAGAGCATGTGAATTTATTTTTTATTAACAAAGTCTGGTGCTTCTCTCGTGTCTGGTGTTATTTATTTCCCAGTAAAGATGATCTTTATTTGCATTTTTCTCCTGTTGTAGGGTTTCTTGGAGGGTGTTATTAATGCAGAGGTTGGGCCAGTATATTCTGTCAGTCAGTGATTCAGTGCTGGCCTCGGAGCCTGCCAGCTGATGGGAGCTGCTCCTGCCACCCCAAAAGCCATTCTCTTATTTCCTGCCTATTTTCCACCTCTCTGGTCCCCACCCCAGCCACTCCCAGTGTAATTTCTGGAGTGAGCATGTGAAACTCACCCGGGCTGACGCTGGGTGCCAGCGCTGTTGTAAATACCTGAGAAATTACGGGTGCAAACTCCGGGACTTCCTGCAGAGCTGATTCAGAAATGCTCGGAGCTCTGCCTTCCTGCTGCTCACAGGCTGCTGGGCTGGAGGCAGCCCCGGGGCATGGACAGGGATTCCCTTCGGTGACGTGTTCAGATGCTTCTAAAGAACCAATTTGGCTTCAGCTGTTTGGAGTGACAGCAGAAAAACATCTGCCTTAGCTGAGCACCTCATCTACAAACCTGGAAGCCACGTGCTATCCAGAATCATTCTCAGAGTGGGATCACTCCTACCTTCCTGGTTTTTAACCAGTCACAGCATGTCTGGCAGCTTCAATGCAGAGCGTTGCAAAACGACTTTGAGCTTCACATCTCATTCTGCATCCCCCCCCCGCCCCCTTTCCTCGCTGCAGAGAGGTAGGAACAGGAGCTGCTCAGTTTTCAAACTGAGTTTTTAATTAAGTTTTTAATTTGTGCTTCTCAACTTATTGTTGTGGCTGTCAGAGCAGACACCTGTGCCAGAATCCATTTTAAATGTTGTTAGTTTAAAACAGCAACAGTGGAGTTTTTGAGTTGAACCTGAGTGTCTCATGCTTGGAAAACTGCTGGAGAAGGAAAGGAAAAGGAGCCATTTTGGATCAAAATTTAAAGTTGGGATCTTGGAGAGGTGTTAAGTTTGGGGCACTTGTCTTACAACTGAGGAAGGAATGTTCTTTTCAAGCTTTTCAAAATTTATTTTATTTGAAAGCACCTTGTCTGCAGTAACCTCTGGAAAGTTGTGTTGGTGTCTCCTGTGAGTGTGTAGGTGGAGGGGCTGGGTTTTGTTGCTACTGCTCCATAATGAGGACAGTGTGTAGGAAAATAGAGGCAGCCTCAAATTCCCTTCTGCAGGGGTTTGTAGGCTGCATTTCTGGCTGTTTTTTAGTCACTACACACGTTTTCTGTCTGGCTGTTTATTCTCATTCAGAAGGGGCAGCGGGCCTGCAGATATGATGGATTGTTTGGGTTTTTTTGTTTGTTTTCTGGAGGAAGAGGTGCCTATTGGAAACTTGCTGTGTATTAAATCTCCCCTCCAGCAAGGAGCTTGTTGCCAATGTGCCTCTTTTGTGACCCTTGGGTTTGAACTCCCCACAGTGCCACTGTCACAAAGCAGATTTTCCCTTCCTCATCTTAACAAGAAGAGATTTAACAGCAAAACCCTCTTAGAGATTCTTGTTTGCCATTCCCTGGAGGAATTGCTGTATCTGGGGCAGCAGGAAGCCAGGCCTTGTGCAGTGTGCTTTAAAGATACTTCATTTGGGGACTGGCTCCAGTAATGTTTCCAGAGCTGTAAGGTGAAAGAACAGCCCAGAAGGCGACCCACATGCAAAACATTAATGTTTTCTGCTGCTGCGAGTCTGACAAGTCCAGCTCTGAGTGTGTGGAAGATCAGGGATACAAGTGTAAAAGGATTTTCACTAACAGTAAGTGTTCTTTATTTCTGATAAATAACCACTGCTTGCTCCACAGGTAGAACTACATTTTGCCTTCTCATTTCTTAATATCCTTTTGGGGATTGTTTCAAATCCTGATCCTTCATGGCAGGAGGCCAAAGTGTTAATGACAGTGATTCTGGGTGTTTGGCTTGGAGGCTTGGGGTGCCGTGGTGTGCATACCTCAATGCGGGCAGAGTGGAAAATTGTGTGGTGCTGGTGACAAGACACAAATGCGTTCTTAGAACCGTGTTTTCAGGATTTCTGAGCTGAGGAAAAATAGTCTGAGCCATCTGGGGTGAGCCTTTGGGAGGAAGGCTGATTGCCAGAATGGTTTTCCCAGGTTGTGTGTGACAGTGCTGCCTCCCCGGCTGTCAGAGTTCCACGTGCTCTGGCCAAGCTCTTGTAGCTGTTCCACACGAGGAGGGTGTAATACACCAAATAAATCAATGGGATTTATTTAATTTTATTTATTTTTATTTAATTTATTTATTTGGTGTTAGGTGGGAGTCTGATTTAGCAGGGTGATACAGCAACATGCTGAAATCACAGCAGAAGGTTAACACATTGATGGCAGTGTGTGGTTGGATCCAAATTCAGGTGTGGTGCCTGTTCCTGGTCTCCATGTGCTCACTGTCAGGGTGCTCAAGAAGGGGTACAGGTTAAAGCCTGCTTTTCTCCCTTCAAAATTTACTTTTTTATTGTCCAGTTTTTATACTTTGGGCTCAGCTGTGTGTATATTCCTGCCACGTTGGTCTGGCTCTCTCAGGAAGATGTGATTCATTATTAATTGGCTCAGGGCACCTGGCAATTCACTGGTGCTTATCTCAATACAAGGTTACCCTGCAGCCTCCCTGGGGTTTAGACAAATTCAGCTTTCCTTACAACCCATTCCTCCCTGAGCTCACTGGGTTTTGTTCTCCTCCACTGTGGGGTGCTAGTCAAGCACACTGCCCTGGATGGATTTACTGGACAAGAAAGTCCAGGCACAGACAAACTCCTTTCTCCAGAGTAATGTCTCCAAGAAAATCCCATTAGTGCTTGGGATGTGCTTTGGGGGCAGATGGGATCCACATGGCAGGGCTGGATTAACTTCATGTGTTCCTCATGTGGCAGCCTGGGGAGCTGTGCCAGGGCAGGTGCTTGGGAGGGCAGTTTTCTGCTATTGAAGAAATTGAAATATTGAGGAACTCCAAGTCTTGAGCTAGGGCACACCCCTGAGTGACCTGGGGTCCACAAGGGGCTTTGAGGCCCAGTGCTTTTGATTCTGCTAGAAAAGGTAGAAAAAAATGGATCAAAAGGTGTTCTGGGCTGTTGTAAAGTCACATAATTGGAGCCTGCTTTCACCCCTGTTACTGCATTTCTTTCAGACCAAGGCACAGAATCAGTCATTTTGTCCCCAATTTCTCATTAAGAATCTCAC